TTGGATCAATAGTGATCTAATCGGCTTTACATATAAAATGAAGAATACAAAAGCAACAACCGACACAACGTAGAATGATTTTTTGAATGTGTACTATATTTCTTCAGGTACAATGGAAGATTTTACGCACGCACCAATGTAAAATCTTCCATCGTACCTGAAGGAGGCTGGTTTGGCCAGCCGAAATATAGTACACCTTCAAAAAATCATTCTACGTTGTGTCAGTTTTTGCTTTTGTATTCTTCGAAAAATATAAGGCAGGAGACAATATGCTGTTTTAGAATTGGTACCTATTAGGGATGAAAAACATTTCAAGCCACGCCCACAAAACAAGATCTTGGTACCTCTCTTTGGGGTTCTTTTCAAAATTTCCGACGAGCAATCCCGTCCCTTTTATATGGGAGTCTCCCCCCCGGGGGGTTTTGAGTTTCTTAGACTGCAACAGATTAGGTAATTTATCTAATTTTTCCCTGTATTAAACATGGCATTGCTAATTCCTAAGGCCTAAGGATGATAACAGATCGCTTTATTGATCAGTGAACTGGTATTTATTTCTCAACCAAAACAGATTATTGCCTTGTAGCGTTTTGGTAGTATATATTGCCCACTTTCGAAGTCCAGTCAGAACTAAAAAGCCTTTAAATCTTTACCGCTCTATTCAGTCCTAAAAAGGCTGGAATAGCCTGAGTACCTTTAAAGATCTTTAAAATACCATTTCATATGCGGTCTGGGAAAAGGTAACGGTTTACAGGCTCAGCAGCTGACGTGTACATAGGTTTCAGCAAAGATTCAGAAGTTTCTGGTGCTACGGACCACAAACACAGGGATGGCTGAGCGTATTTTGAATTGGAGAGGGGGGGGGGGGGGGNGGGGGGGGGGGGAAGGCTTACAAGCGAGCGCCAGCGGTACTAACCCAGTTGTAGGGGTCTGAAGATATTTGTAAAATTATTATTTTATTGATTTTTTGCTTGAAGTGGGGGGGGGGGGAGCTAAAGCCCCCCAGCCTCCCCGGCTCCGCTGTCCCTTAAAGACAAGAAGTGTACTGTGAAAAAATCCGGACAAAATACTGAAAAAATCGATAAAACGAGATACGAGACACTCTGATCGTTGTCGTCATTAACATCCTCATCAAAGCTCTTGATGACCTTGCTGCTGGACAACGCCTAAATGCGTCTCAGTTTTTGACAACGTTTTTAATGATATTTTTGTGATGTTCTTATCCACTGAATTATGTATATCAGCTGCACTATTGTTTATGTATTTGAACAATACAGTCATACCTTGGTAGAGCAAAATGTAGCATAATGGGTAATCTGCTGATTCCATGTTCGCAGCTTTGAACGAACCACCGAGAGACAAACCAAATCCGCGGCAGGCGATTTAGAATAAAGATTTTCACATTTGAAAATTCGGCTGGTCTCCAGACAGTCTTCCCAAGATTTAGACGACGTGCATGTGTAACATTCCATTGAAAAGCCTGAATAAAAAAAAAAAAAAGAATATACTGTGTTAAAATAGTTATGACAAGACGCGTTTTCGTGTAATCATCAGTAATCGTTGTGGCCACTAGTTAGTAGACTACGAGTAGTCCCTCTTTCGCTTAGTACATCGTGCGTGACGCGGAAGAAAACCGCGAGAAAAAACGCGCGGCTATTTTTTTTCTCGCAGGTTTCTTACGCGTCACGCGCGAAGGACTAAGCGAAAGAGGGACTACTCGTAGTCTACTAGTTAGCAGTGCAAGCATTTTTGCCGGCAACGCAAGCGAGCGTGTTTGCGCATCGGTCGGCCATCGTAGAGGAGGGTGTAGAAGAGGCGGAGAGGAAGCGACTCTAATAAGCCGTTTATCGATTTTATTCCACAGGCTTTACAGTCTCTCCTTTCCTCCCCGTCCTATTCCTCGTCCTCTTCCACGGAGGTCGCCAGATGCACGAGTAAAAGTATCCAGCGCTCGCTGAGCAAAAGCGCCAGTACTGCAGGCTAACGACGTCGCTAACCAACACCACTCTCCACTCCGCGTTTCCCTACACCTCCCCCTGCCACTCGTCATTCAGATTGTCCTTTCATTCAGCTTCCCCAACTGGCGCTCACCCGGTCAAAGATGTTCACAGGGCCATGATATCTTAAATAGGGCCGGCTGTGAGAAGTTAAAACAAACGTTTGGTCAGACGAAAATTGGGCAAAAGTTCTTTTAGCACAAACAAGAACCTTTAAATAACACGCGCGATGACACCAGAGAGACAGGGGGAACTCACGCAGTAGAAATATTTAACCTTTTTATCAACAGCGTTCCTCGCAAAATACGAAATTTTCCCCAGAACTGACACTAAGGACTAAAGGATAAAACGATGGACGAAACTTTTGGGAACCATTTTAGCCAAAGTAAAAAATACTTACCCTCCGGGACAAACAGGATTAAGAAAACAGCCGAGATGAAGAAGGTATTCAAACAACGTGGTTTCATCTTTGTTGACATGAAGTCCTTTAAACTGCAGTACTGGATCCTCTCCACGCTAAATCTCCGCTTAAAGAAAGCTAGCAGTGGTATAACATGCGCGTCTTAAATAGCAGATCCTCGTGGCTCTTTGCCCTTTCAAACAATTGTGTGTTGATTGTATTTCATTTCCCATTGATTTCCGCACGCTGGCATTTGTAACGTCTAGACCAGGATGTGGAAACGTGGAACGAGGGACACGGAAGTAAAAAACATTGCGAGATGCGTAACAAAAGAGAAACAGGTTTTCCTTTTATTTGATACTAAGATCTTTAATGATTGATGATGCTATAGCCTCTTAGTACATGTGCTCGACAAACCATAACATTCATCAGAAAGGAATCATTTGAAAAACATTGTTCTCGGTACACTCTAAATTTAAAGTGATTAAAGCAGTTTATTTTGACCCGGAAAAAAAGATATTTTTGATTCAAACTGTCGATGTGAGTCTTTCTAAATACCTTGACAAACGCCTTTCCGTTCTCCACTCTAAAATGTCAAAGTCTGAACGGCTATCGCGTCCAAGGCTCTTTTTGTAATTATTGTTCTCCCCTATTAGGAAGAAGTTCTTTTGGCCCAACACGAGCGTGAGACTTCGCCATTACGATGCGTGGTGTGCAATTTCAAAGTCCCGCTCGGTTTCTACTTCGTGACCTAGCTGTTCAAAATCGCTTCCTAAATTGCTCATAAATGCATTAAGGTGAAAATCAAGGAAGTAGATTACGGGTAAGCTCATTACGCTGTTGAAACCTGCGGCTATTTTGTCATAAGACACCGGGCGAGAAAAGCCTGATGTCGTGCAGGCGCTCGAATCCCATCCTCGTTCTCGTTCGACGGTAGAAGCTCTAACAAGGTGATGCAGATGGTATATCTTTGGTTGAAATGTGAATCGATGACCCTAGAAGTGACCTGATACATGATAATGGCTTCAACTAAAGCGGAAGCTTAGAGCAGCAGGGTTTCGATTCGTGTTTGCGAAAACAGCCGAGCTAAAAATGACTCTTTGTACTAACATAGAAACAAGCGTAAGGGTCAAAACACACGCATTCCATAGACTTATTATTAGACTGATTTGTCTTGAACAACACCCCTTTAAAATCTCAATGCGTTTTCAAGTTCCTTGCCGATAAATCGTCTTCTCCTATAAACCTTGATTTCTCTGTACTTGTTTTTGTTCACTTCCTTTTCTTTCTCAAGTCCAGTCCACTCCAGGTATCTATGATTTCCATAAAATTCGGCGTAGTTCCAAGTCTCGTGCACAACAGGAAAGGCTTCACCTCTCAGGTCAAGGACAGGAAAAATGCCGGACTGAAACGTAGAAACCAAGGTGTCTTGTGTTCACGACTTTGTCTTTTTGGTAAGGAAAATAGGAAAATTCGCTAAACATTCATTAATACGAAAAGTTTAAGGCTCAAATCCATGTTTCTTCGAGGAAGCGCCTACCTTGTCAACTTGAAGTAATATAAGAAAAAGAAAAGAAAGGTAACTTTGAGCTAGATGTCAGCGCTAGCCCAATCCCACCCAGTATTTGCCCTTAGAAATTTAAGCTTCAGCAGCTGAAAATGTTGGTAGCCGTGGCTTCAGCACGAAGGAATTAACTTCCCGTATTGACCGAAAAACATGTTGATATTTGTTCAAAGTTGTGCACGAAAACACGGAAATCTTTTTTATTTCGTTTTTCAGCTAAAATAAATCACATACGGCTACCTACACATCAAATATCAAGTTTTGACAAATTGTTGTTTGGCTAGGTAGAGCGAGTTAGTTTCGCAGGGGATGGCTTCAGTTAGTGCACCAAAACGTCAAATTGCGCAGCACTTGAAGAACCATTGTAAAAATGTGTTTTAATTTGCTGTGGACGTCGGGTTTTGATTTCGTTTCTGTTGTCACTGAAAAATAATTTATTTCCGCTGTGGTGGGTTTATATACATCGCTGGAAAAGACTGATTGCTCCGTTAGTATATGGCAGTTGACTATTTTTTTCTTGTTAGTCACTGATAAGTTCTTTCTCGAACGTCACTGACCTTGAAATAGATTCTAAAAATTTTACATGTGTTATTGCACATGAGACTGGCCGAGAAAACGAATATTGTGGTGAACCGCAGAGATAAACACTGCTAATATCGAAAGGAAACTACATGTGGTCTTGATACTGAAAAAATTCAATGTAAAACTATTGATGCAACGTTTTGGCTCTAGCAACTCGCCGAACATGGCCAACATCCAACTTAAGGGTTACAGATCTTTAATAGAAAAATTATGACAGCACCAGTTGATTGGGGTTCCTACGATTAGCACGTGTTAAAACATGTGCTCCTGAAGTATCTGATAAACACAAACCATAACCGAACTCATACAGCAATAAATGAACGATAGTTCCGGCCTCAGTTCGTGCAAATTATCATTTGTTCAATGAGATATCAGAAATTTTACTTGTGCAAGTGAGACAATTAAAATGAAAGATGGATCCCGCGGCTAGCGGATCAATAATTCAACGACAGTCTTAACTTCATGCAAATTACCATTTGTTAGAGGTGCAGACGAGACAGTAAAGATGGAACTAGATAGATCCAGCTCAATTTTTCCAGGTGAGCTGCTGCTCAGTAAAGATAGAGAGATAGATAGCTTTTTTAAGTAAAATCATTGCAGCCCCCGAAAGTGGCTGATAAATGATATACTTTACAACTCGTTAAAATTACAAATATACAAGATGAAATTAAACCTAAAAATATAATACAATGCGAAAAGATATCGAAACTATTTATAATTAGAACTATGCTTCCCAGGTAAAGAAAGCCAGATAGAGAGACGTTCAATTGAATTATTTTTGTCAACTGCCAGACATAAAGGTGAACTTGTCGTTAACCCGATCCACCGTTTTGTTTTTAAATTTGTCATTACACGCAAGAATCTAGCCTGCTAGCAGGCTCACGTTGGAGCACAAGCGTGCGCGGCGTAGCCGCGAGCGCGAAATCGAGCGGCGAAGTCGCGACCTTGCTCTGATCCCCGGAAAAAATAAGCCAAATAGTTCTCACCGGAAGTATGAACTTTGGCAGCTCTGATTTCTCGGGAAAATTGTAAATCCTTTTCATAACAACATGCAGACGCGATATCCGTTGTTGATAAACCTTTGCCGAAGAATTAAAAACCGTCAAAGTTTATGTCTAGCGAAGACACACACTTGATGCACCTTATCACGGTTTTCGACGCCATCTTGACGAGTAAGCAAAGTGGTCAGAAATTACACTGTTTTTATGGGAATCCGATGACAAATAACTTTTTCCAAAATTGAATTTTACCCAATTTGTGAATCAAACGTTAAAATACTAGGTAGAAAATTGCATTCACCAAGTTTAAAGGATATAGCTTGGCTAGAAGACGCTCAGTTAATTTTTCTAATTTTCCACTCATTTGTCTGTAATTTTTTTCCCGCGAACCGAGCCAAATTTACAGACAAGTCAAAATTCGTCTCGCGCTCCGCGCTCGCGTATCGCGTTTCGCTCTCTGCCCCGCTAATCCGCCTGTTCTGCAAGCTATTTCGTTGACGCTTACAATCACATACGGTTTTTAATAGTTAACTCTCTTCATATGCAGTCTCCAACACGAGAAGTACGTCTTGATTCATTAACATGCTTTCAACTGCTATTTCCTGCTACCTCTTTACTTTGAAATTTTAATAACCAGAAATAGACTGGATTTTTATCGAAACATCAGTAATACGCGCATTCAACTCTTTCTCTGGCTCTAAAATGTGGACGACTTATTTTCTGTTGCGCGTGTTGAACGTGCGGTAAATTACCGACTCCATGGGGATCTAATCGTTCCTCATCAAACGCAATAGATTGACAGTTTTCTCGCCTTTCCGGCTTTTCGACCAATGGTATTTCACTTTGCTCAGGCGAAGCAGAAATGAAAATATTACAGAGATCAAGACTTACTTTCTTGGCGCCTCTTCACCAGACTCCTTCTCGCCGGATGGCTTTGCTCTTCGCCACTCGCGAGCGTTTCTCAAAGGTGAGCCCGCTCGCAGGCTATCAAGAATCCAACGAACAATATTTCGTTGTATTTGTTTTCATTTCAGAAAAAAAGACAAAAGAAAACAGACGGAAAAATCAACTGAAAGAAAACAAAAATAACGAACACCCCCCCAACACAAACATTCTCAGTGGCTCCTTTTGCGGGGTATATGGGGAAAGACATGCGGATCAGGTTATGATATGAACACCACTGGTTACTATTTACTCGATAGATATTTATCACACGATTACATTGAGGTAATTTTCAGGAAATTCTGACTCGCCCTGCAATGAATATTACATTGTTTTGTTGCAAAAGACGTAAAAGCTTATCAACAGCAACGAAGCTTGGTCAGGCGGTACTAGGCCCGGCGTGTGTGAACGGAAATGTTTAAGTCTATCACAATTTACTCAGCAAACAGTTTGATTATCCGACAGCTGTAACTGAGGCCCCGTCCACATTACACCGGAGGAATATGAAAACGCATCAAATGTTTTCCGTCCACTCTACGCCGGAGAAATTTAAAAACGCAACAATCACCGGTCATTTTGGATTTGTGTTTGAGGAAAACTCGGTCAGTGAAATCACATGATTCTCGTGACGCCATCGTTTTCGAAAAGCTCCGTTTTCAAAATGTTTCCGTCCTCATGAAATATCAAAGCCGGCGTTTTCAAATCCCTCCGGTTTCAAGAGCGCGTTTTTAAAAAGATCCGTTTTCGCGACGGAACAGTGTGAACGGTAGGCCTAACCGTACGTAGAAATAAAGTTGCAGTGTGGATGGGGCCTGAAACGCTAGCGGTCTTGAACATTCACCAGCAGATTGAACTGGAAAAGACAGGAAATAATATGTCAGAGTGAAATATATATTTTTGGGAAAAAGTACAGGATTACAAGGATGTTCATTAAATTTAATTCTGGGACATAATCAGTGAAGACATCAAAATCGCCGCGCCATTCCGTGGAAATTATGACCTTTTAATCATTATTCCCTTTTAGCTAATAGTTCTTTTCTTTCCCACTTTTAGCGTTTTTTTCTACTGCATGGTAATAAAGCAAGTTTATAGCAAGTTTCCTGCCGTGCATATCTAAAAAATTAAACTCGGTAATGTATATCTGCGGGAACGCGGTCTCGGTCTGTTCCTTTCACTTGGCCAGCCTTTCTTATGAAAACGGCTAGCTGAAAAGAGAAAATCAAAAATTGACTACTTTGACTACACAAAGTATTAAATGTCAGGAAATTAGCTAAGCGAAATGTGTGCCACAAGACATGACCAGTTTCACAGCAATCAAGGCAATCAATTATCGCTGTAAAGCTAAAGCGGATCGAAAACGCGTTTCAGTGCATGTAAAGGGTCGTCTCCTCGACCCGTAGTAGCCCTTTTTGTTTTTTTTTTGCTTGACACCTCAAAAAAAACAGCTGTGGAGGGGACTAGTACAAGGCACATTTCACGAATTTGAAGGTTAATTTTAATCATTTGTCAGACATTTTGGTCATTTCAGGAGCTCATCTGAGTTGAGAATTAAAAAATACAAATACTAATTAGTCAGTGAAGATCATTCCATCACACCCACTATTCAGTCACGGTGCTCGTCATATGGCTGATCATGTAATGGTTTAGTGGGTTTTTTGGCAACCAAAGTCCTGACGCGAGAATCTACGTCACAAGGGCTACCAGTGATGTATTTNGATCGAAAACGCGTTTCAGTGCATGTAAAGGGTCGTCTCCTCGACCCGTAGTAGCCCTTTTTGTTTTTTTGCTTGACACCCCCAAAAAAACAGCTGTGGAGGGGACTAACACAAGGCACATTTCACTAATTTGAAGGTTAATTTTAATCATTTGTCAGGATTTTGGTCATTTCAGGAGCCCATTTGAGTTGAGAATTAAAAAATACAAATACTGATTAGTCAGTGAAGATCATTCCATCACGCCCACTATTCAGTTACGGTGTTCGTCATATGGCTGATCCTGTAATGGTTTAGTGGGTTTCTTGGCAACCGAAGTCCTGACGTCAGAATCTACGTCACAAGGGCTACCAGTGATGTATTTACAATTGTCAGACTCTGATTGGATGACGCAATCAGCATACTTCTTCATATGACTCTCTAGATAACTCAGAGGCGACGAACCTTGTGACAGAACCTGATAATGAAAGTCTTTTTCGCTGAATATCTTTCTGTTTGCTTCAATCTTCGCCTTGGTTTCGTTTCGTATTTGCCAAATCTTCAGCTGGCCGATCATGTACGCGGAGGCCTGGCCCGGGTTGCTCTGGTAACGAGTGACTTCTTTTATCGCCTTGTCAGTCGTGTCCCAGGCCTTTTCATCAAAGAGTTTTAATGCTTCCCCTCGTTTCATTCCTGAGTAGAAAGATCATATCAACCCTTAATTTAAAATACGTCTCTGAATGTTACGGGTATCGATTCTTTCAAAGATTAGGGTCCATGGTGATGGTTCAAAATGCTTTGTGAAACACGAGATAGTTGTTCTGGTTACAACTCGAAAATGAAAATGTGTGGCCACTGGACTCGTTTTTGAGTTATCAGGACTCATAGTTTTCATTAAGCCGGGTTGTTTTTAACAGGTTGCATGTATGTTTAATGTCATCACTATAGTGTTAACTGAAAAAGAATGACAGTATTGGTCCATCATAGTAGAAGTGATAAAACTTCAAACATTGTTGCCGATCACCTAACACAGAATGTTGTCTTGTGCGCTTCGCTCCAACGAACCTTTGTAATGAAGGCCTGTGTCTATCATCATACGCAATGCCCGCCATATTTGCCATTTCAGCATGCCATAGAGCTGAAGTGGATTGTTATCATATACGTCTGTTTCTTCAGCGATCAGCGGGTTCTCGGCGTATAGCGCCCAGCCCTCTGTAAACGCGGTGTAGTACGATGCACTGTTTAACCAGCTCACAACATCTTCACACTTGTCACCAAAAAGTTCCTCAAAACCCTGAACCTATTAACGAAATGCAGAACAGCACTCATCAATAAAGGAATTGGTCATGACCAGTTAAGTACAGGAGTAAGCTACAAACGCTAAGTGTCTTTAATAGAAGGAGATATCTGCAGAGATTTCCAGAGACAGCGGAAGAAAATGGTTAAAACTCAAGCCCAGAATGCAAGGCATGGAGAATTGTATGATGAACTCAGTAAAACTCCCACTTTAATTAAAGCCTGTATCTGTATTTGGCTTTTTTACATGGCTAACTGATCAGTGAACGGGCAAGATGAACCAAATCCTGCGCTGTGATTGGCTACCCGAGCGGGCAAGATGGCGCTATCTTTTCCGCTCGGGATTACTGTCCCGTAAGAAAAATTTCCCTGAAAGTCATATAATAAATCCTTTATTGACCAAGCTTGTTCGGTCGAGATAGCTCGATATTGGCCTCGTTCTTTCTTTGCGAGTTTATGGACCTGGACTCCGTTGGCCCATAAACCGAACAAGCAAAAAAAAAAAAGAACCTGGCCATTATCTAGCCATTTTGACCTCACGCTTTTTAAGTAACCCATATATATTTGAAAAGTAAGAGGATTTATGTTTAAAAAATTAAGTTTCCATCGATGAAAAATTTTTTTTTTGAATTTGACTTCAGTTTTGAAGTTATTCTCACTATAGCCTACCTTAAAACACTCGACATAAGCCAAACATTGCATTGCACAGCCCCCTTAATTTACTTAATACTGCACCCTTGCTGATTTGGTGCTCTGATAATTCACCTTTGCTGCGATGATATTTGTTCAAAACCTTATTGCAACCTTCGTCACAAAGTCCCTCAGTACCTGTGTGTGGTGACCAGGTCTTGTCTCATGTGCAGCCACTGACATAGCACTGTATCTTGGACCCAGGTCCTTCAGAAAGAACGGCATTCTGTACTGCGAAGACCTGGTACAATCTTCGTCACTTGACCTGTAACTCTGGGAACCAGTCCCTGGGTTGAAGATTGCGACGAGCTGAACAGGGCAGTTAGGAGTGCTTTTATGTTTACCGGTGAAATGAAACATGTGAATGGTCTTTGGTTCAAGACTACCCAACAAAGCTGAACAAAAACGGAACGAAAAATTTAAGAAATCGGTTGAAGGTGTAACAACGCTTTTTATCTGTGATTTCAATAACTGTTTCTGTTAAGTTAACAGAAACAGTCACTGTAATCAGTTATTGCTCTATTATAAAGGAATAAGGGATATCTCGGTTTAAATATTTTCTTCCAAAATATAATTCTTATAATGATAAAATCTGAAAAATGGCCCTGATATACCTCTTACTAACCGAGTTCGAGGTCCATGCTGAAAGTTACGGACCGAGATTTTTCCCCTTTGATTTATGGCCCAGGCGCAAAACGCGCGGGCCATAAATCGAAGAGCAAAAAACGAGGATACGTAACTAACAGTACGGACCAAGAAGACGAGGTTAGTAAGATATTTATTATATCTCTACTGTGTGTCTGACGGGTTCGGGAACGATTTCTATTCACGCGGAACGGCTTCAAATCTCTGACGCATGTCGAAAGCAATTAAAACGAGTCAATTTGAAATCGTAAAGTCGTTAGCACATTTTAATACGCAATTTAAAGTAAAAGGAGGTTTTAAACTTTTACTTGCTCTTAAAGTTAAGAACACTTGGCGATAAATCAGGAAACATTTTGGCAAGAAAAACAGCTTTAAATTTTAGCTGGTCGTACAATAGAATCAACCAATCACAGCGCCCGTAGTAATTGAGAGATATAATAAAATAGTTTATTGTCAAATCTCCAGTTTGTTATCTCGTATACTCACAGTAAACGTAATCAAACCAAGTCAACATAGCTTGATGACGCTTTGGGCAGTGTATCTTTGCTTCTTCCATACTAGTGCACCTAGAGAATGCGTCTTTGCCGCTCTCGTTTTCTGGAAACTTCTCGTCATTAAAATACATGCTTTGACTTTTCAAACGCTTCTTAAACTCTTCCATGGCTTGCTGTTCATTCTTCTTCCCTGTAATTTTCTTGGCGATTTCTACGGCTCTTGGATAAAGCTGACTCAGCATTTTTTCACCGAGGGAATATATTTGATCTGGTGTCATGTGATTGGTTGTGAAATAGGGTAGTATCATTTCGTAGGCTTTCTTTCCACTCAAGGGTTCCCCAGTGGGAAGTTTTCCAATTGTTTTGTTTCCAGTATTCCTCCCGTTTTTGTAGATATGTGACACAGGTAGCGTAGCCAAACCGCTGGACACGTTACTCGGGACGCAAAACTGAGAATGGTTGAATTCCAGGTAAGTCAGTAAACTGTCCAGCGGCCTTCCCACATACGCGACTAGTGACTCGTTTATAGAGGCACGGACTGTGACACTGTGTTTTTTCTCCCACTCAACGGAAGCACTTTTCTCAAGCTTTGCCAACCATCTGGAATCAAGCATTTCTTGTGTAAAAGTCTCGTTTAAGACACCTGCGAAATGAAGAAAAACAACTGAATCAAGCTCAGCGGTGCAAAACAATTTACAACAACCTCAGTTACGTTAAAGAGTGTTCACTATATTGTCATGGTATGTGTCAATTTAAAATCGATAGCTGTATACGAAATTTGATGTCAATGAAAACAGGTCTAGAAAAATCTACGAGAAACGGAACAAAATGTGAAGCGTTATAAAAACAATTCAAAATATGACATAAAGCAATTTGTTGTTACAAGGTGGCGCGATTCTGCAGTGCGGCTTGTTCTTTCTTTGTCTTGCCAAAGAGATTTAATCTATCAACCTTTTCGAAGTATGCGTCAAAACATTGAAACGCCCCCTTTCACAGCAGTAGAGTCACATTTCAAACTTGTACAGAGTAAGGCCGAAAATGACGTTCGATTTTTCTTGTAAAAAATAGGAGAGAACTGTTTATTGAATTCCACACGGGGCGTGTTTAAAACAAGAGAAATGCGTGGGGAAATCCCAATATGGCACTTTTGAGTGGGAGTCAATGTGGGATGCGGGTGTCTGTAGGGGTTAACCCTTACAATTACTGAGAGCTAACAACAAATTTCTGCGGTAGTTATGCTAAACAGAGCGCTATTTAGCTTAACTGTAGTGCGCCAATGCCACACGTACCTTTGGGTCCATGTTGGGAGACTTTGAGATACTCGCGCTGAATGGAGTACAAACTGTACTGGCAATCTTCTTGCGAGCGGACAAAACCCGCTTTTACACCAAGTTTCATGTTTTCTATGTACTGCATCAAAGAATCTTTTAGCTGCTTTAGGTGGTCTATTACAAATTTCACATCGTCCACTGTTTTTGGTTGTATACCCCAGTCGTGGTAGGTAAAATGAGCTTGGAGATCCTTCCCCACATAACAAACGGGTTGCCAGCAAAATGTGTTTGGACCCAGCATCCAGTCTCCAGCATAATAATTCTCAGCGTAGGGCTCGCCAAAGTTGCTCTGTAGAAAGTGCTTCGCTTGAGCTATAGCCTTCCTTTCGCGTGGCTTCAGCTTGTTACTGTTAACCTTTTTCTCAAGTTTATTAATTTCTCGCCGCAGCGCTTGAGCGGCGTCCGTCCGTTCGCGAATAGCGTTTGGATGGGCGTTGTAGGGCTTGAACTTCCGTCGGACTGACGCGGGTGTGGAATCAGGATCATAAACCACCTTATTTGGGTTCATTTTGTAATAAACAGTTTTCACTTTTCGCAGAAACGCCTTCAGTCGGACCTGACGGGCTTCACTGGAATAGCTGCAAGCCGTCGATTTCCCCTTTTGCGTTTTTGAAGCATCCGCATTGCAGTTAAAATCTTCACTTACTGCGCTAATGATAAATACTGCAAGATAAAACACTGCAGGAGCGTTTGTAGGTATGTAACACGGGAGCCCTAAATTAATGTACAGTCCAACCCAGTGGCGGATCTACTGGAGGGGCCCGGGGGACCCGCCCCCTCATTTTGGTTAAAAAAAGAGGAAATCACAGAAGGAAGAAAAGCCGACAGGGTAAGCAAAACAAAACCGGCTCCCACCCCCTTAGCTCAAGGTCTGGATCCGCCACTGGAACCTCTCCACAACAGCTATCCTGGGGATGGAGGAGAGTGGCTATTGCCGAAAGGTGGCCGTTATGGGGAGGTAGGCATGTAATATGACACCTGTTTTTATCGGGGTGCACCATTTATTTTCTTAAAAGTGCTTATTTAGCATATAAACTGTACGCAACACAATCAAAATATATCAATAAAACAGAAACTAAACAGAAACAGAGACCAACGAAACTTCGCACGGATCGAGTTTGGTGACCTTTTCCAATTAAAAAAATGGGGTTTTGTATACAGCACTCATTGATTAGCTCAGTCGGGACGCGTTTTAGTGTAGAGAGGTGGCCGTTGTAGCTAGCGAGGTTAGCTACAACAGCCGGAACAGAAAAAAAGTGGCCGCGGTAAAGAGGTGGCCCTTGTAGAGAGGAGACCGTTAGTGGAGGTTCGACTGTAATAAAAGAGTTTATATGGAAGTTAAAAAGAGGCAGATTACATGGCTAATTGAAACTCATTACTCATTTCAATAAATTTGATAAAACATAACCTGTTGTCATCGTCTACATGTATTCCGTGTTAGTAGCTTTTGGAAATGGAAGCGATTTTAGCGCATCGCCTTTCCTTAGCCGATTCTTCAGTGCTAAAAAAAATGAGTTATGACTCCGGCTTAAATGCTCGTGATCAACAAAATCTCATGAGCTCAGTTTATACCGGATAAAGATCAACTCGCCCGGAGTCAAGCTAAGATAGCGTAAAAAGTATATTTTTTTACGTTGGGGTAAAAGAAATATAGAGGTAAAGAAATAGACTTACATAAAACATCCTGCTTTCTTTTAAGTCAATAGTCACTACCGGCTCATTGTTGCCGACTGTCGCTTAGTTTTGACTATCCGTTCTCTCCCTTACCAATCTGACATCTTATTTAAAGCTTTCACCGGTGGCGAGATAATTCAATAAAATTAAAATTCAAAACAACCGTTTAAAGTTCAGAAGCATTTTTCGAGATGAATAGAGATCAAATCCGATCAAATCATCATCGATCACTCGACAAAGAGTCCCGGTGGAATCTTAGTATTTAGCAAGAGGTTATGATCCTAGCCTGATCATATTCTCTTGTATTTAGCCAATAAGCTACATGAGATATCAATATCTTGCAATATTACATGTATGCAACACATTGGAAATTACAGCTTCTAACCTCTTAGAGATGGCATTGGTGACCGACAGCAGTGATGTCTCGAACTCTTCCTGTTCTTTCAATTTGACTAATAAATAACCGTGCCGTGAAAGAAATTAAAACGCACGATCAGCTAAGTTTCGTCCCTAGAAAACAGAAAAATGTAAATCACATTGTCAAAGGCACTCGCTCATGGAACATTCTAAACGCTAAACACTGACGGGTAACATATTGTTAACACAGGTATATAACAAACGGGTATCTGAAAGTCCGATACCAGTAAAAACTAACATCAAACAGTTATATACGAGTAATTTCACAGCATTAGCGCTATGTAAATGTATAATTATTATTATTAACATGTACATGCAGGGGCACGCAACGGATCTGTTCCTTGAAATATCTTTTCCCCAGCCGTGATTACCGCTTGCTGACGGGCTCCGTCACCGTCATCCTCCTAAGCTTGGTGAAAGAAGAAGCCTTCAACGGTGACATTCTTAGGGCCTGACCCCAGATCATAGTCTCTTCGCCTAACCCAATCGTAAGTTTGCGTGACGAGGAAACAATAAAACACTATTGTCGGGACCCTGAAATTCCGGTTAAAAGTCCTAGGCTTACAACTTTATAAGGGGTTTTGTGTGGACTTAAAAACGGGGCCGGATAGGGGCTTATATCAGGGGGATGAGGGGTGGGGGGGGGGTAGGTTTTTATTGACTGTGCTCCTAAAATGGCGTATTATGCTTCTAGCAGTGCTCAGAATTTTTGGAAATTATGCCGAAATTATGTTTCTCTAAATTCTGCTTAATACAATCAAAATTATGTTACTTGTTTTTTTAGCAAAACGAAGAAAGAACAGGGCGAATAAAGACAAAGCAAGGAGCCCTTATCTAGTGACAGCAGAATACCTTTTCAGCTGCTGAACTATATGAACTAGAAATGAAGTGCTCGACAACGAGGATGTCATCTTAGATCTTAGAGCTCAGTCAGTTCGAACCTTCGAGCCGTACGCGCGAGGCCTGAGACCAAGAAACGTCAAAACATCGCACCAACCACAGGCAGCCAGGAGCCAATAGTTATAACAAAAGTTTCAGAAACAGAAAAAGTAAAAAGAGGTATATCCAATACGAAATTAAGTTATTTTTTCGTTTCGTGAAAGTCAAAACAGCCAGATTATGCTAACAGCGGTAAATTTAGAGAAAAGCTAAGCTACTTATGGGGTGCCATTTCCGCCAAAATTATTGTTTTATTATTATTAGGCACANAGCTACTCGGCCTTGCTAAATAATTAAGCCCAGGGGAGGGGGATGCTTATAATCGGTGTAAAGCAAATTTTGGACATTCACCGACTGGCCTCATCTCATTTTTGTCAGTGAAAGTCAACCATTATATTCGATGTACAAATACCACATTTATTTCGATCAATTCGATTTTTTCAGTTTTTGCGGGACGATTTTCAAGGTGACTTCAAAAATGGTTAATTTGCCTCGGGAGACTATGAAATTTTATTGTAAGTGTCTGCTGAAAAGCAATTTGTTACTCCAACAAGCTGAATGTTTTGCATGCATGCAGAAGTTTCATCTTACCTCGACAATTTAAAGGTTTAGCCATGGGATTCCGTCAAAGTTTGATGGAGTTATGAATTTCCCAAAATACCTCGATCCCGCCAAACTTCCGAATGTTCGAGGCGTGATATACCTTAGCAAAAAGCTATTTTCTCAAATACGGGACCTGCTCTAAGATCGAGCATACGATAACTCAAAAGTGCTAACATCAATGTAAGAACTTAAAGAATAAAATTTGGGGGCACTGTCCGCCGCGCGCCCGTAGAGAGCTCCAGGAATGTACCAAATATTACTAAAGCCGGATAGGTTTGTGTTGCGATGGACCACCGAATACTACATTGAACTATTTTCTTTAAATGTGTATTTTTTAAGGTAAATAATTGCTTCTTTCCTGACGGCGAAAATGGTCTCAGCCCTCTGTAAACGTTTTCCTGTAAGTTTGTTTGCATGACTTTCGAAAAAGACAAATTCGTGGGAAATGAAAAGGCTCACAAACTTAAAGGAAAGCTTTAACAGTGCGACCAGTTTTTTCGTCAAGAAAGAAGCAGTTATCCCTCAGAATTTATATTTAAAGAAAAAGTTTAATGTGGTATTCCGTCGTCCATCGCAACACAAACTCATCCGGCTACAGTAATTTACATATCGATGGAAAGAAAATTTCATCGCTTTTACGCTTTAAAATGCCGAATGAAAGTGGATTTTTCCCCGAAATAACTGTTAACCAAGGAAAAATCTTTTGTAATTTTATAGTATATTTTGTATATTGATAAGTACTTTTGAGTTACCATAGACTTGATCCTAGATCAGTTCTATCAGAAAATGGCTAGGTATGTCAAGCTTGGCACATTCCTGAGTTTGGCAGGAGGTATTTTATTTTACGAAATTCATTATCCATCAAAGTTGGACAAAATATAATTGTTAAACCTATAAAGTCTCAGATAAAAATGAAACTTCTGCATAGTAAATGGTTTGAACCCAGGAGTATCAGTAGTTCGTATAGTGTGATCGTCCGGGCGAGGGTAGTTCTGAAAAGAATTGTTGTTGGTGACTGACGTTTCGACAACCTGAGCGGAAGTCATCTTTGGAAACTTCTGCATGAAAGACATTCAGCTTGTTGGAATAAAAAATTGTGTTTTGGCGGCGTCCGACATTCGAAGCCAAAAACTTTCATGGTCTCCCAAAGCAAATAAGCCACTTTTGAGGTCACCTTGAAAATTGTTCCGTAAAAAGAAGGAAAAAACCGAATTGATCCAAATAAATGTGATATTTTGAACATAGGATATAACGGCTGACTTTCACGGAGAAAATTAGGCCAAAAAGAGCAGTCACATTGTCAAAGGCACTCACTTAGCTTATGGAATATTATAAACGATAAACGCGGGCTACACATTATTAACACCGATATCACAGACGGGTATCTGAAAGTCAGATACCAGTTAAAACTAACAACACGGCACAGTTATATACCACGGTTATATACAAGTAAACATATCCATACAGGGCACGTAGCGGATCTGTTCCTTGAAATATCTGTTCTCCAGCGGCGATCACTAACTGGCGGGCACTCACCGTCAGCGCGAAATCCGACTATTTTCTTCGTGTTCTTCTAGCTGGCTGATCAATTTTTAATTTGTCTGATTGCCAGAACAATAATCTTCACTTCCTCACCCTCCCCTCCCCCCAAAAGAGTTTCATCTACGTCCCAATCCTTCCTCTCCTCCACTGAAGAAGTGTAGACTACGCCCTTTTTTTTAGTTAAATCAGTTGCTGGAAAATAAAATGTTCGGGCAATTCTGATGGAAAAAGAATTAACAGATATGAACTTGTCAGCGAGTAGAATCATGGTTTAATAATTCTTGTTTGTCGACATTCTCGTCCCCAGTGCTACTCGTCTTAAAATGTCGTTGCTCCGTTTCTCCGACTACGTGACCAAAAGAAACGGAGGCTCTGGGGACGAGAATGGTTTGTCGATGGCCGGATTGTTTCAGAAGAAATATAGGGCATGCGCGATTCAATTCCCGCGCAAGGTTGTAAAAACCTGTCTTTGATCCAAGATTTCTCGTAAACCTACCATACAACCTATGATGAAATTTTCACAGTTGGTTTTTAGGAGCGAATCGCGTTCAGAGCGAAACTGAATTTTTATTTAACTTTGTATGAATGTTCAAACAGAGCCAATTTCTAATTCCGTAAATTTTGAGGTGGGGTCATACAGGTAGATGTTGAGAAAAACGTCACTAAAACCGAAACCGAAAACGCGCCATTCTTCTTTACTTTGAAAGCCTTTCAAATAAGCAGCAATTGTTTTTTACTTCATAGGCACTTTAATAGAGGTGGCCGAATAATAGGGGTTTTATTTACGGTATTTTAGTGACAATCATTTCGGGACTTTGATGACTGCCGCTTAGTAAGGGGTGGCCACTTAATAGGAGCAATAGGAATTCGACTGTGGTCTTCTTCGCAATCGTCAGGCAACACTTCTCGCCGCGAAATAGCGTTGCGTGACATCCGGTATTGACTGTGAAATATGTAAATTGCAAAATTGTGGTGCGCTGTCTGTGCCAGCAAGCGACATATCAACTACAAGACTGTTCACCGGTTGAAATGTAAGAATTTATATGATAAAACTACTGCTTAGGTAAAGTGCTGTCTGGCATTGGTAACATGGCTTTTTGTTGCGGCACCGTTTCTTCCTACAAGCAAGACAGTGTTTGGTCATGGTTTATTTGTTTCTGGACGACGATACATATGATCCTAACTCTCGGATTAGCCTTCGCACTCGGTGTACTTCTTCCTGTATTCATGGATTCTTTTGGTGAAAGCCGAGAAAAAACAGGCAAGTTTCAGATCTGTCAGCTTCAGTAAATATTTTATGCTGTCGAGCAGTCGAAGTTCTTTAGTTTTCGGTGGCCTGAGCGGGGGTCGGTACATTTAGTTCGCTGACCCCTAGTCCATGGACTACCCCGATGGACCTGGTCCATGGACTACTTGAATGGACTACCCATGTACTACCCTAAATGGACCACCCTGAAATTTGTGGCAAACATAAACAAAAGATGCGATCAATCGACAAACACATTACG